TTTACTTTCAAGCTCTGTTTCCTTTAGTTGCTTGACACGCGTGACACATGTGCCCGTGAAGAAGCCGGTGAGCGCCAGCACACACACATATCATGTACATCTCGACATGCGAAAGTGTTTCTCTATATATTTTCATTACAATACTGACCCATACACAGAGTATGTAATGCAGTCAAATGTTCACGAACACAAGCGCAGCCTTGTAGAGCTCATTTCTGGATAATTTTTGATAACGCTATTTTGGAAAGGATGTGTGAACGATCTTTTCTGGGTACCAGTAACGTCCGTGTCTGTGTGAACAGCGTTTTTTTTTTAATTTAAGGTAAAGGTATTTAGGTAAAGTCGTTCCGGAAATTTTCCGGATATTTACTGTTATTACTGTGTAAAAAGCAGCTATTGTCTTAATCAGGTTGGTAGTTACTTGATGTAATAAATCACAGTGTTTTAACAGTGCCGACAGAAGAAAAGGTGTTCATTTATTCAGTAAGGTGCAGTGAAGTAAGAAAATCACAGTTTAAAGTGCAGAACTAAAAGCTGATTAATGTTTAACCAGACTCTAGCAATCATTAACTAGCACTGCTGCAGATATTTAACCCCATTACACAAGCTTAAATAACAGCACTAGCAGACTTCCTTCAGGAGATGTGTGGTTTTGGACTGAAAGCGCAGTAAGTTTCCTAATCCTGCATTTCCAGGAAGAAATATTTCATTGAGCAATATGAAGCAAATGTTCAGTTGTGTTATTATTGTCCAGACTTCAGATTTTTATCAAAAACAAAACCGCTGCTTCCTGCTGTGCTTAAAAGCATGCCTAAAATGAATATTGTATGCACACATATGCAGAAAAATATAGACAACAATCATTTAAAATATGATTATTTATTTGTTCATCAGCTTAGTCCCTTTGTTTATCAGGGGTCTACACAGTGGAATGAACCATCAACTATTCCAGCATATGCTTTACATAGCGAATGCCCTTCCAGCTGCAACCCAGTACTGGGAAACACCCATACTCACTTATTATCATACACTACAGCCAATTTAGTTAATCAATTCCCCTATAGTGCATGTGTTTGGACTGTGGGGGAAACCGGAGCCCTCAGAGGAAACCCACACCAACACGGGGAAAACATGCAAACTCTACACAGAAACCCCAACTGACCCAGCCAGGACTCAAACCAGCGACCTTCTGGCTGTGAGGCAAAGATTATTAAATAGTTAGAATTATTAAAAAAGAAAACAACTTTAAAAATAAACCACATTCGTAAATATTTAATTGTTGAATTAATAATATACCAGCGAGCTTACGTCCCATTCACACGGGGCGTCAGCTTCAACGCTTCCTATTCACTTTGAATGGGTGACATCAGGCGTTGCCAAACTGCATTGAGGATCCATCGGCACCACTTCAGAGGCGTTGCTCGCTGCAGAAGTTGGAACTTTCTCAACTTTCAAGCGCCGACGAAAGCGTCAGCCAATCAGTTCACTGTATGCAAATGCACCAACTCAGACAGTAGCCGTTTACGGATTAATGTCATTGGCTGACGCTGCTATGACGATCGCGTCAGCCCCAACTTCAGACAAGCCTTCTGTCAAGCATTTGACGCTGAAGCCACGTGTGAATGGGGTGTTAGAATCACCAAGAGGCGCCACTCAATAAAAAGTTCCATTGCAACCACAGCGCCCAGCAACAAACCCGTGACTCCACCATTTTGGAGTGAAAGCGATCGGCCGTCGATTGGATCTCATTGCTGTTGCGATGCCAAACAGCGGCTTTGTTTTTCATTTATTTATTTAAAAAGCGCTTTAAAGTAGAGGTCTGCATTCCAGCCGCGGGACCCGACCAGATTTCTGCGGCGCAGGAATAAATTTCCGATTTAAGTGTGGGAGCGGTCGGTAACGGGTTTCATTTGGGACGGGAGCGGGCCGTCTAGCAATATCTCTCCCGACTACCGAGCGAGCACGCGTATGTATGTGTGTAAATAAAATAGCGCGATGCTGTGTTTAGCTTGTTTGTTGCTGTGTGTGTATGTGTGTGTGTGCGCATGCGCAAATGAGAGGTGTGTGTTGGCGCGCACAAATGAGAGAGAGAGAGAGCTTTGCCTGTGTGTGCGCTTGGTGCTTATGTGTGTGCGCTTGGTGCTTGTGTGTGTGTGTGTGTGTGTGTGTGTGTGTGTGTGTGTGTGTGTGTGTGTGTGTGTGTGTGTGTTAGTGCGCGCGCGAACGAGAGAGAGAGCTTTGGCTGTGTGTGTGTGCTTGGTGCTATGTGTGTGTGTGTTTATACAGACAGCTTGTTATAGGCTGTCTGGACTCTGTATAGCTGGGTGGTTTTCGGTTTTGTTCTCCCCTTGCTCTTTAGCGGGATCGGCGCGGCGGGTAGAAGGCGGGGCGGGTCGGGCAGCGGGACAACAAATGCTTAATATAAGCGGGAGCGGTCGGGTTCGGGCTAAAACCTGGCGGGTGCGGGCGGGAGCGGGATTCAAAATTTAGTCCCGCGCAGATCTCTACCTTAAAGCTGAGATACAAACTGGAAGACGACAAAACAACACTTACTATCACCATCATCTGCACTTCTAATAGTTTATTTTACACACTTTTATAATATGCTGTATACTATTGGAGTATTAATTCCGAAATAGCTGTCGTATGACACTAGCGGCATCTAGTGGCTGTTTCCCAAACAACAACAGAGTGCCGCCTCTTGGCCATTCTAAGCTTTTTAAATATACAACCTTATTTAGCAGCGATGCACCTAATTAATTCATTTTCTTTTTGGCTTAGTCCCTTTTTTAGTCAGGGGTCGCCACAGCGGAGTGAACCGCCAACTTATCCAGCAAGTTTTTACGCAGCGTATGCCTTTCCAGCTGCAACCCGTTAAGACATAATAATGTGATAAAATGTCCTTTGAAATTTCTGTTCCTCTGTTAATCCTGAAAAAATAAATATATCACATTTTACACAAAAATATAAAACTCTTTTCATCAACAGTAATAATAATAACAATCGGACATGATAATCAGAAATGCTTCTGGATCACCACATTTAGTTTTGCATTACAGGAAGAAACATGCAATGAGAAAATAAGTACTAAACACGTCAGTATTTTTCTCAGATAACATATTTCTAAAGGTGCTGTTGACTTAAATTAAATTAAGTAAAAAAAAACAACCAAAGAAATCCATATATGCAGAGAAAACAAATTGAATTAGTTTACAAGAGAAGTTCTGTGTAATAAAATAATATGACACATGTAAAAAGTATTGAACACATGAAGAAAGGGAGGTGTAGATAGGCAGTGAAAGCCCAGACAGCATCTGAAATCTCTCAGCAGTTCTTCAACAAGCCTCTACCCTTCCTCAGTGTAATGCCCCATTCACACAAGGCGCCAGCTTCAATGCTTCCCATTCACTTTGAAAGGGTGATGTCAGGCGTTGGCGAACTGCATTGTGGATCCGTCGGCGATGCTTCAGAGGCGTTGCTCGCTGCAGAAGTTGGGACTAGCTCAGCTTTTCAAACGCCGACGGAAGCGTCAGCCAATCAGATCGCTGTATGCAAATACACCAGCAAGACAGTGGCCTATTTCTGACTGAATTTCATTGGATGACGCTGCTATGATGATCGCTTCAGCCCCAACTTCAGACACGCCTTCAGTCAAACACTGATGCTGAAGCCCCATGTGAATAGGGCGTGATTGAACATCAGCTGCTTCAGTCCTGCATCTACATTAGCAGGAGGATGAAGACCAAACCAGGGTGAACATTTCAGCAAGACAATGATCCAAAACACAGCCAAGGAGACTCTCAGAGGCTTTCAGAGAAAGAAAATCACGCTGTGGAACGGCCCAGCCAATCACCTGATGCGAATCCAATAGAGAATACAGAATTAAGCTCAGACTTGATAGACGAGAGCCACAGAAGCATTCTCCTTATGAGAGGCGTCTTTAAGCTGCCGTTATTAAAGAACCCTTTTACATAAAGTATTGAATACGTTTCAGTAGTTCAGTGCTTTCTCCTTCTGTCATTCTATTGTGATTACACACACCTCATGTTTCACATATTTTTGTTTTGTTTTATTTTTATGTTTGTATTGTTTGAGTTTTCATGTCAACAGCTCTCTTAGAAATATTATTCCCAAGAAATAACATGACGATGTGTTCAATCTTATTATCAGTTCAGTAGTTCAATAAATTGCTATAGAAAGCAGTTATATGCAATAAAAATAATATTGAATGTAATTATTGGATGTTTTGACATGTAAATGTTGTAGGTATAATATTATAACATTTATTTTATTCTTGACCTCAACTACAGTGATGCAAACAGAAGATTTGTCATTAATACGGCTTAAAAAAATGTATGAAGCTGTTCAATCAATCAATCATTTTCTTGTCGGCTTAGTCCCTTAATTAATCCAGGGTCGACACAGCGGAATGAACCGCCAACTCATCCAGCAAGTTTTTACGCAGCGGATGCCCTTCCAGCCGCAACCCATCTCTGGGAAACATCCACACACACATTCACACACACTCATACACTACGGACAATTTAGCCTACCCAATTCACCTGTACCGCATGTCTTTGGACTGTGGGGGAAACCGGAGTGCCCGGAGGAAACCCACGCGAAGGCAGGGGGAACATGCTGAAGCTGTTTTAAAATGTAATAATAATGACAAATACAGTTTGTTCCTCTGAAAAAGTGATCTGAAGAATATTAATGACACAATTATAATGCCTCATGGCAATCACATTTATGACAGATTTGAATGCTTCTGCCAGTCTATGTCGCTCCTGTCGCTGTTCATTTGTGCTTCATCTAAAACTCCACATCTATAATCCTCTTAGTCTATGCTGACATTATCTTCAGCAGCTCAAACACTCTAATGGCTAATAGACAGACGGCTGCTTCTCACTCAGGGCTGCTGGTTATGCTAATCAGATGGAGAGATGGGCATTAGTGGGCGGGGCTTTCCCCCTCTGATGACACGTACAAAGTGAGAATGTCAATCAAAGTGTTTCCTTTATCAAGTCAGATTATAAAAATACAATTAATGCATGTTCACCATTAGAAGCTGGAGATATTCACCACTGCTGACACACAACTGGGGTTAAACCCCTTATAAATAAGATTTTTGCATAATAGACTCACTTTAAGTAGTACTACAAACTAGTGTAGGTTTAGTTCACGTGTGAGAGTGGAAGGTCCCAAATCTGGACTGAAGTTGTCTGTCGTCTGATAAGTCTGTGTCTGATCAGAGTTTATCAGCATGTTTGTTTTACTGTTATTGTTCATAACTCAGGTGTTTGCAGCTTTGTTAATGTCTATTACTGGACTTCTCCATCACCTGCAGTACAGCGTCCAGTATGGAGGGTCCCAAGTCCAGACTGAAGGTGAAGGCGCTATCAGTCTGATCAGTCTGTGTCTGATCAGTCTTAATCTGATCAGTCTTAATCTGATCAGTTTGCGTCTGACCACTGTTTATCAGTGTTTTCGGATATTGCTCCTCATCCTCGTCCTCCATGTCCAGCAGAGGGAGAGAGCTGCTCTTCTGCCTGCGCTCGGATGCAGTTTTCTCCCAGATTGGCTCCTCTAGGTTGACCCGTGGTGGTTTTGGCGGCGGTGCGCAGGCCAGAAACAGATTCTGCTCACTCCTCGAGCTCTGATGCAGAAGATTGTGGCCTTCCTTCAGGAAGGAAAGATCTCCGAAACTGTCCGTGTGTCCGTCCAGCCCGATATGGGACAGGTGTTTGAAGTCTGCCAGAGGAAGGCTGATCATGTTGAGCGAAACCCTGTTTCTGCGGCCAGACGCTCTCCATCTGAGCGCCGCTGGTTTGCGCTGTTGGGACGTCCAGAGCGGCATTTCAATGAGGGATGATCACAACATGAAGAGTCCAGATCCTGAAACACATTAAAGGAGAGCAAGTTATTCCGATGTCTGCATGGGGTTTTGAAGGAACATTTTACTTTTGGAAGCATTAAAGGCACATTATTTCATGTTGTCCACTAGAGGGTGCATATTCATAACAAACAAATGCATATTTTGATGAGGGCGTGATTAAGTATGGAATCATGGGATTTGTGGTCTTTGTCAACCCTACAGAGAACATACTCTGTTCAACACACTATGGTTTGGGACACTACTTCTATATTCGAAAACGATTTAGGACAGATAGTATGTGAATTGGGACGCGGCACAACTGAACTGAAATAAAATATAGAAAACAGACTTATTCTGTTAACTTAAGCTTGTGGCAATATAAGGCAATGTATAAATATATACACTATATATATATATATTTATGCAACGGTTCTATCTGGTTCTTGAATCTGATCTGATCTGGTCTAATATCTGCATACTCCACGTCTAATTTCTATTTCTGTTTAGTTCAGTTATGACTTTAGTCGGATTAAGGTCATCAAAATGGCAGTTTGGAGCTTATGTAGGCATTGATGTTTAACTGAATAAACAGTTAGTAAACACGAGTACATCTTAATGAACATCCTTTATTTTCATCACCAGTTATCACAGTAGAACAGTTTCTCAAGCAGTTTGTGATGCATTTTGGAAACAGGAGATGAGCCCCTGGACTAATGCGCCACCTGGCTAGAGAACCCCGTTCTCAAAGACTTACTTTTAGTCATTATTTGGGTAGCAGACATATACTGAATGCCCATTTTAAACAGTGAGATTAGTCTGGATTAAAAAAAATTAATCTATGCCCACCTAATATATATATATATATATATATATATATATATATATATATATATATATATATATATATATATATATATATATATATATATATACACACACACACACACACACAGGGATTGACATTAACACCCGCCAACCCACCAAATGGCTGGTTGACAATAATTTTCCCAGATAATAATTCTTTAAAGCAGCGTTCGATATTAAGGATGGCCTAATATGCATGCAAAGGCAATCTTAGAATTGAGAAGCAACACGACTAACAAAAATAATTGTGTTTGCGCAAGCAATAGAGAGCAGGTGAATACCGAATAAGAGGATGATCACTCGCGCTAACAGCTGAGCAGCTGAGGTGAAGCGCACGACTGTTTAAAACGTATGCACGCTCCCGTTTCCTCGCGTGAAGCAACTCTGTCTAGAAACGCAACTGATGAGATCAGTTCTCTATCAAATAGACTAGACAAAAAGTTATGCTCATGCACCCACAGTCCTGCTGCTTTCAAGAGTTCCAGATTTGCTTTTTTTTGTAAGTAGCACCGGTTGCTTTCGCTTTAACTGTGCTTTGAACAAATTTTTTATGGGTCTATTGTTAATTGTGTGTGTGTGTGTGTGATCATCCTTTTTTTATTACACAGTATGTTTTTACCTGCTTTCGTTTGCTTGGTTAATATGGATTATTTATCATTTTTTACAATAACATTGCTTTAATGGGAGATTAAATCCCTTTTATGTGTAGTTAACTGGTGATCTGGGACCTTTAGCACTGGGACAGATTACTGTGCATATGTTTTGTTAAATAAAAAGTATAGTATACAGCTATATATTTATCTTGTTTTAATACATTTAAAATTTGTGGATAAGAAATAATGAATTGTTTATGTTTGGTGTGGTCAGAGATATTTTTTTGGTAATTCCTTCATTTTCAACTCTAAAAATGATGTGAAATAAAAACTAATTGTAATATTATGTAACCATGACTCAGTTGCTCATGATTATTGAGCTCATACACAACACACAAAAAGTTAAATGAATGAGGAGGCATGTGGAGATGACACCAAATCTTAATCAAGTACTTTTAGCATGTCAAAGTCATATTTATGTGTATAATATATATATATATATAATGTGTGTTTGGATATAACTGTAAAGGTGATGTAATGTTGGTCACAGGTGAAGCGTTTGCCAGAGCTGTTAATCAGTGCTTGATTACAGTATAGTTACAGATTAACAGCTGATGTTACGACATCTTCACAGCCACATCTTCACACTGTAACTGTGCATGGCTTTAGATTTTCTTTTCTTGTTTATTTTGTCATCTATTAGGTCTGTGTAATATAATGATACACAGTTTAAGTCAAACATATTTGCCCTACTTTGAAATTTTAATTCCATTTAAAATACTTCCCAAGTGCTGTTTAACAGAGAGAAGAGCACACTTCTAAACATAATAGTTTTAATCACTCATTTCTAATAAGTAATTTACTTTGTCTTTGCCATGATAACAACACAATATTTGACTAGATATCTGTTAGGATACTAGTATTCCGCTTAGTGACATTTAAAGGCTCAACTAGGTTAATTGTGATAAAGTTAGGGTAATTAAGCAAGTCATTGTAGTAACATTGCTAGCTATTCGCTCTATTAATAAGTCCATATATATTATAAACATCTTTATATTAATGTATTTTATTATTTAGTGTAGTTTAGTTTGCAAGTAAGGTTCATTAGGCAAGTTATAGGACAACAGGGGTTTGTTCTGAAGACACTTAAAACGTATATTTCTAAAAGCGGCTAATAATATTGACCGATAAAATAAAATAAAATCACATTCTGTCATATTTTAATTGCACGTTTAGATAGATGCCCGTGTAACCGTGCTCTGAAAAAAAGGATTCATTGCATTTACTACACTTTCTTAAGGTAAGTGGTTGCCAACTATTTATATGGTCTGAATGTAAATAAACTAATTAAGTTGAACATGACTACATTTAATTTGTGTGTTTAAATTCAGCACAAATAAATAGTTTGCAACCAGTTATCTTAGTAAATCCAATGAATAATTTTTTTTTTTGCGTGAGTTACATTGATAAACAGGTTTAATCAGTGCTGCTGTGGTGTGGACGGTCATGGCTGGACTCTACACACACACACACACACACACACACATTAGATCAGCTTTCGTGACTTGCAGCACTCACCCTTTACGTGTGCACGGCACTACAGAAAACAGCTTTTGTTGGCCAATAAAGGTTTTATCGGCACTTTAGTAGCAGCGGGAGACGTCGAGTGCCGACAGAACGGCATTCCTTCACTGACATGCAACCAGAAATGAGGAAATACACTATAATGAGGCCTTCAGCGAACACATTCATAAAATACATTTACAGAGCACTTTACTGAAAACACTCAAATATTGATCTTCATTAAGATTTCAATATTGAAATTCATTTAACGATGTTTACATTCATAAATTAATATGTAATTTACAGTTATTTGCTGTCCTGATCAATTTGAATTGTTTTATGTTTTATTTTAACACATTTCTAATCATAATGGTTTTAATTACTTTATTACTAAACACTGATTTATTTCATCTTTGCCATGATGACAGCACATAATATTAGACTAAATATTCTTCAAGACACTAGTATTCAGCTTAAAGTGACATTTAAAGGCTTCACTAGGGTAATTAGGGTAAAGTTAGGGTAATTAGGCAAGTCATTATATAACAGTGGATTGTTCTGAAGACAATTCGAAACAAATATTGCTTAAGGGGGTTAATAATATTGACCTTAAAATAGGTTTAAAACCAATAAAAGACTGCTTTTACTCTTGCCGAAATAAAAAAATCAGACTTTCTCCAGAAGAAACATTATTATAGGTAATACTGTGAAGAATTCGTTGCTCTGTAAATAATGTGTAAATAATCACAGGGTTGCAAATAATTTTGACTTCAATTGTATAATTGTTTACGTTTAGCCATTTAGTATGCTTCCATTGAAAGCGAAGCACAGATTAATATAGGTAAAATTATATTTTATAATCATAATTATAATTCATAATAATTTTTAAATAAAGATGAATGTAAAATAATAATGAAAATTAGGGCTGTCAAAAATAGTGCGTTAACACACGTGATGAATTCTAATATTTAATGCGTTAAAAAAATAACGAAAATATCACAGTTGAAGTTTTTTTATTTCCTGTTGTGGCCGACGTGTGTTCAGGGACAGCGCATGCATAGAGGCGACCTAGGCGGCTGCCTAGAATAGTGAGCGAACCCCCCCGGTCCTGATATTCATCCACTACACACACACCCTCCTTCATGGTCCTACTTCCTCCGCTAACCGGTCACTTTCACCCTGAGGGCGGCCTGATTGCCGTTTGCCTAGAGCGCCAGTTCAGCTTGCTCTGGCCCTGCGTGTGTTTAAAGTGCAAAGACATTTGGATAAGACCAAGGACACGCTTTTAGAAGGAAAGTTTTAGTATAAAACAATTAATGTGGCATCACCAGGCTATCCTGCGTTTCCTCCAGAGTTTCATGCAATTTCGGGTGTTTCATTTTAATCTTTCTGTTCAGCAGTTCACTCTCATTCAGCATATCTTCATTCATGATGTTTAATGGAATTTGTTACTGCATGAAAAGAAAAGCCTCCGCATTTCGGGACTTGCGTGGTCCTTTAGGGTAATTAAAAATCGCTGCTTACACGGTCGACTCTTAATCAGTATTATCTTAATCATCAAAGCGGAGTATTAGTGTCCATGTAAATGTACTCAGTGAAAATGGCAGATGAAATCCCAAGCTGTCAAAGACAGCCCTATTCTCTGCCTTTAAGGGATCCCTTGCTCACCGCGTGCGCTGTACTTCGTGCGTTGTCTGCGAGATCTTGTCACACCTCTAGTAACGTTGTACTTCACTAATGCATCCTATAAAAACTGTTATTGTCATCTATTTTGCATTTATTTGCATGTTTTATTATGCGTAAATAGCACTACTGTTGTTTGCATTACTTACAAAGTGAAACGCTGTTTAAGTTTCATGCAAAAGAGCGTGCATCAATGTAGTGAATCTATCAACATCATTTCATTTATCAACATCATTCATTATTGTCTACCCAAGTGTTTAACCCTTGCGTATTGTTCAAATTGACTCCCCTTTGGTTATGTTGGTGCTGTTTTTGCTCTTTTGACTTCCATTTATTGATTGTAAAGCCATGACAGCATATAATCATGCTTTCCTGATTGTTGTTGGTTTTCGCGCTTGGGAAGAGGTAAAGTGTGTAAGTTTTTTAATGTTGATCATCAGTTGTCAGCATTAACCCTTTAGGTAGGCCTGTGCTAAAAAGTGTCTGGCTTTTATATGGAGTAAAACAACAAATTGTAATATGTGTGTTATTTTCATATTCTCAGACATATCTGTGCGCTGATGATTAATAATAAAAATGACAAATTGTACATCTCAACAGGGAAAACCAGCAACAATCAGGAATGCATGATTATACGCTGTCATGGCTTTGCAATCAATAAATGTGAATACAACAGAAGTCAATGGAGCAAAACGGCCCAACACAATCAAAGGGGAGTCAATTTGCCCACAGTGTATTGTTGAGCATTTTAAAACAGCATTTTTCTGAAGTATGTGTAAGAATAAGATTTGTCAGCAAAAAAAAAACCCATTCCATTTGCTGAAACACAGAGAAAGTTGTGCTCAAATTAAGCCTCAAATTACCCCCGTGTGTTAAAAACATCCCCAACAGCACACAAGGGTTAAATTAATCAATAAAAAATATTAATTTAAATCAAGATAAAAAATATATATACAATTTATTAGAAAAAGGAGCATTTTTAGTTGTGATAAAGTTATCTTGCTTTTTAAAAGATATCTTCTTTAAGTTCAGTCATGATGTAATGTTAAAAACCTTCTGTGCATGTTTACCTGTGAAGGTGTGCATTTACTGTATCACACCCACATCTGAAGCAGTTTCTGCTAACATGACGAGACTTGTACAGCTTGAACAGAGCGATCCTCATAATACCGTCATCATGTTTCATTGATATTTTCACAATACAAACAATAGCATGTGAACTACAATTATTGGTTTTATACTGTTCAGCCGTATTTGGTCCCTGAAAAGAACTTAGATACTACAGTGTTTTCAGTTTGAAATGAAATATTATGCTAAGAAGGAGAGGCAGTGGCGCAGTAGGTAGTGCTGTCGCCTCACAGCAAGAAGGTCGCTGATTCGAACCTCGGCTCAGTTGGCGTTTCTGTGTGGAGTTTGCATGTTCTCCCTGCCTTCGCGTGGGTGTCTTCCGGGTGCTCTGGTTTCCCCCACAGTCCAAAGACATGCGGCACAGGTGAATTGGGTAAGCTAAATTGTCCGTAGTGTGTGAGTGAATGTGTGTGTGGATGTTTCCCAGAGATGGGTTGCGGCTGGAAGGGCATTCGCTGTGTAAAATCTTACTGGATAAGTTGGCGGTTCATTCCGCTGTGGCGACCCCGGATTAATAAAGGGATTAAGCCGACAAGAAAATGAATGAATAAATTATGCTAAGAATATTTTGACTAAAATATTCAGAATGCACTGTGAAAATATCCTCTACTTAACAGCTTCCATATTTTGTGATTTTTTTTTTCTGTTTTATCTGTTTTTCTATTTTCGGTTGTCAATTGCATCATGGGATGTTGATCTCTACATTGTCTACTTTTGATGTTGAAAAGTCAACTCTACAGTGACTTTTATTCATATTTTATTAGTTTGGAACAATTTATTATAAGTTAAGCCTGAAAATAACCTATTACCAGGTTTTTGTAACGTAGTTTACATCACCAACCCAAACAATATAGCACTTTAAACTAATTTTTAAAAAGTCTCTCTTTCAATGTTTTCAACATCAGAAGTTGTGGGAGGAAAAATGTAGTTTCCATCATGCAATTCAAAAGCAAAAAAAAAAAGGAAAAACCAAAGCAATTTTTGAGTTTATCAATAGTTAAGACAGTTTTAAACCCTTAAATCAGAGATGCCCAAAGTAGGGCTCGCGGGCCAAAGTTGGCCCATCGTAATCTTTGGATTGGCCCACCATTCCATCTATGAGGAAAGTGAGAATGATGGAGAGGGTTGGGCCGAATGCCTCTAACACAGAGAGCGTCATTTCTAATTTGACGTAACCTTTTTTTTATTTGTTCTATTGCTGAGCTACAAAAAACAAACTAAAATTAAACATTTCAATTAAATGTTGTAAAGGAATCAGATTTTTTAAAATGTAAATACTGTCACTCGATAGATAGAGGACTATGCAGAAGACATTGGTGAACAAATCAAGGCAAAAACTAGCGAATTTCTGTTATAAATTACATTTGTTTAAGTTTTTTCTGTACTAAGTTTATTATAAAATGTAAAACATACTGTATTAGTTAATATAAAGCAATGTTTTCTAGACATTTTAAGCATTATTAAATAAACTAGGAAATTACCCATGGAAGCTATATTTACCTTCGTCCCACTAGCCTCAATCAAGTTAGGTTTTTGGCCCTTCAAGCACTCTCAGAAATAATATGCGAGCTGTCACTGGGGTGGTACCTTTACAAAAAGGACAAATTTGTACCTAAAAGGTCCATATTAATCCCTCAAGGAACATATTAGTACCTATAAAGTACAAAAGTGTTCCTATTAAAATGTTTGGGTACTAACATATACATTAGAAGTAACAATATGGACTTCAATACAAATGTGTACCTTTTGAAAAGGTACCACCCCAGTGACAGCTCACGTACCTTTATTTCTGAGGGTGTAAAGCTGCTTTGAAGCAATAATTATCATAAAAAGTAATATATAATAAACTTGAAGTGAAAATTCTAAGATATATTGGAAAATAATTGGTATAAAAGACAAGAGCCAATAAACTTAGACAGACATTAAGGAAAACCTTTACACTGTGTACAATGAGAACAGAACTGAACTGAAGAAGAATATAAATGTAAAGCCAGTGCTGCTTTCTTTGCTTCAGTAGGCTGTGGTGTGGACTGTCAGTGATCTTACCTTCATCCAAAATCGTTACTCCTCATTCAGAAATGGCAGTAGTTAGCTCTCGATATGAAGTTCTCCTAAATTCTCCAGTGCAGAGTCCGTCTCAGAGCGCGAGTGTTAAAGTCCAGACATTGTCAAACAGGTGAAGTCTCCACCCTGAGTGTGTGACGTAACTTCAGCTTCACCTGAGTGTGTGTCTCCATCAGAGCTGTTACTAATCCTCATGTCATTGTGTCTTGTTCCGCTTTCCTGTTTTTTTTTTTAAGCTGAACTTGTGTAGTAATGACAGCTCTGGACATGTATGTACAGGTGCTTCACCATTACACAAGCCCTGGTGACATGCAGCCATTCCTGCTTTCACACCCATCACTGTGTAGACACTAGCTAATCACTGCAACAACAAGAAGTGAACATGGATTCATAATTAGAAATAAATGCTAAAAAATATATATTGTTTAAAAGTTAAAATCACATTCATTGATTGGTTTTGCTATAAATTTGACAGATGACAGATGATTTGACAGATATAAATGTGTGTGTGAGGGTGTTTGCGTCATTGATGTTGGTAGCTCTCCATGTTTCCAGCTTTCCATCGTTGCAGATTTGTGCTGATTGTAAAAGGCCTCTGCCCTCCGTCAGTCCGTCATCACAGTGCTTCATTATTTTTCTTCTTCTATTATTATTCCCTCTAGAACTGTCTTGAGCATCTGTCTGCGCTCTTAAATATTGTCTCTCACCTTTAAAAGCCACCACATTGCACTCATTGCATGTCGTCTTCATCTTCTGAGGCGCAACTCGCGTTAGAGAAGCAACCATCCACCCATCCCTACCTCCCAAAACCATCCAATCATTAATCCCTCCCTCCCAAGCTTCCATCCCTCATTCCATCCATCCATCCATCTATTTCAAAGCCAACCATTCATCTCTCCATCTCAAAATCATCCATAAATCCATCACAAAATCAACCATTTATCAATCAATCTCTCCCTCCCAAAACCATCTATCCATCTCTCTCAAGACCATCCATCAATCCCTCCCTCCCAAAACCATCCACCTATCCCTTCCTCCCTCCCTCCCTCCCAAAACCATCCATCTATCCCAAAACCAACCATCCACCCATCCCTACCTCCCCAAACCATCCATCCATCAATCCCTCTCTCCCAAAATCAACCATCCATCCATCTCTCCCTCCCAAAATCATCCACCCATCCCTCCCAAAACCATACATCAATTTCTCACAAAACCAACCATCTATCCTTCCATCCCGCCCAAAACCATCCATCCATCCATCCATCCCAAAATCATCCACCCATCCCGCCCAAAACCATCCATCTATTGATCTCTTCCTTCCAAAACCATCCATCCATCCATACATTCATCCCAAAATCATTCATCCATCCCTCCCAAAACCATACATCAATTTCTCACAAAACCAACCATCTATCCTTCCATCCCGCCCAAAACCATTCATCCATCCATCCCAAAATCATCCACCCATCCATCCCAAAACCATATATCAATTTCTCACAAAACCAATCATCTATCTTTCCATCCAGCCCAAAACAATCCATCTATTGATCTTTTCCTTCCAAAACCATCCATCCATTCATACATTCATCCCAAAATCATCCATCCATCCCTCCCAAAACCATTCTTATCTCCCAAAACTTTCCTTCCATTCCTCCAAAAACCATCCATTCATCCATCCATCCTTTTATCCATCACTCCCAAAACCATCCATCAATCTATCCCAAAGCCAACCATTTATTAATCTCTCCCTCCCAAAATCATCCATCCATCTCTCTCAAAACCATCCCTCCATGCCTCTCTCCCAAAACCATCCATCCCTCCCAAAAACATCCATCCATTTATCCATCACTCCCAAACCCATCCATCCATCTCTCTCTTACAAAACCATCCATCAGTCCATCCCTTACAAAACCATCCATCCAACCAACCATCCTTCCCAAATTGATTTGCCTATCCTTCCAAAAACCTTTTATCCCTCCCAAAACCCTTTATCTATCCATATTTCCCTCCCTAAACCATTTATCCATCTCTCGCTTCCCCAACCATCCTTCTATCCCTCTCAAAACCATCCATCCATGCCTTCCTAAACCATCCATCCATTCATCCATCCATTTTTCCCTCCCAAAAACCATCCATCCAGCCATCCATCCCTCCCTCTTAAAATATCTAATTAAGAAAATGTTCTAATGTTAGAACAAGCAACACAGGGTTAATGTTTTATAGTTACTGATCCTATAAACCAAAGCCAATCATCTGAAGGCCTCTTTCCAATCATTACAAAATCCACGCACTGACTACAGTTACTGGGAAAGACTGACTTTGATGTAGTCTGGATTTCACCATTCTTTTCAACAGTGTTTGTGTGGCCTTGTGTTCCAGGATCGATGACTTGTTCACTTCATTTATTAAATAATTGTCTCTTCATTTGAAAATGGCCTCAGTGGACTTAAGGGAAGCACTGCTTTTCCTCCAAACAACAAGAAATGATCGTCAAATGTTCCCTGCGTCTGCCAGATTCAGAGGGTTTTCTCCTTTCAAACACGTCCAATAAACAAAGGGTCGCCGTTCCCTCAAAAGACCAGGTCTTTCTCCACATGTGCAAACATTCACATACAGCAAACATCAGCTCTTCATCATAACGTTTATACAGTGCTGGAGCTCAGAGTTTCTGAACTGATTTCATCCACACAGATTATCAAATGCAGCCACGGCCAAACATTAGTGCTGGGGCGTTAAATCAGTGCATTGGGATGTGTGCGTTATTTCTGAGATTTTTATAATGCATCACACTCAGAATGCATCTAGTTCATAATAGCAGATGGTGCTCTAGGCTAGATTTTAACAACAGATGGCGCTCTAGGCTAGTGTTTAACAGCAAATAGGCTCTAGGCTAGTTTATAACAGCAGATGGCACTCTAGGCTAGTGTTTAACAGGACACGGCACTCCAGGCTAAAAGGTGCTCTAGGCAAGTTTCTAACAGCAGATGGTGCTCTAGACTTGTTTTGAGCAGCAGATGGCGCTCTAGGCTAGTTTTTTTAACAGCAGACGGTGCTCTAGGCTAGTTTGTAACAACAGACGGCATTCTAGGCTTGTTTTAAACAGCAGACTGCGCTGTAGGCTAGTATATAACTGCAGACAGCACTCTAGACTAATTTTAAACAATAGTGGCGCTCTAGGCTAGTTTATAACAGCAGATGGTGCTCTAGGCTAGTTTTAAACAGCAGGCGGCGCTCTAGGGTAGAGTTTAACAGCAGACTAAGCTCTAGGCTTGAATGTGCGCTAGGTTAGTTTATCACAAAATATGGCACTTTAGACTTGTTTTGAATAGCAGACGCCGCTCTGGGCTAGTTTTAAACAGCAGATAGCACTCTAGGCTAGAGGTGCTCTGGGCTAGTTTATAATAGCAGGTGGCATTCTAGACTAGTTTATAACATCAGTCGATGCTCTAGGCTAGATTATAGCAGCAGTTGGCGCTCTACGCTAGTTTATACCAGCAGATAGCACTCTTGACTATTTTAGAACTGTAGATGGTGCTCAAGGCTAGTTTATAAAAGCAGATGGTGCTTTAGGATAGTTTTTAACAGAAGACAGCACTCTAGGCTAGTTTTAAACTGCAGATGGTGCTCTTTGCTAGTTTTTAACAGCAGACGTTGCATTAGGGTAGAGTCTAACAGCAGATGGCAGTCTAGAATAGTTTTAAACAGCAGATAACACTCTAGACTAGTTTATAACAGCAGATGTTGCTCTAGGTTAGTTTATAACAGCAGATGGCGCTCTAGACTAGTTTATAACAGCAGATGTTGCTCTAGGTTAGTTTATAACAGCAGATGGCGCTCTAGGCTAGTTTATAACAGCAGACGGTGCTCTAGGTTAGTTTGTAACAGCAGATGTTGCTCTAGGTTAGTTTATAACAGCAGATGGCGCTCTAGGTTAGTTTATAACAGCAGACGGTGCTCTAGGTTAGTTTATAACAGCAGATGTTGCTCTAGGTTAGTTTATAACAGCAGATGGCGCTCTAGGTTAGTTTATAACAGCAGACGGTCCTCTAGGTTAGTTTATAACAGCAGATGGCGCTCTAGGTTAGTTTATAACAGCAGACGGTGCTCTAGGTTAGTTTATAACAGCAGATGGTGCTCTAGACTAGTTTTAAACAGCAGATAGCCTTCTAGACTAGTTTATAACAGCAGATGTTGCTCTAGGTTAGTTTATAACAGCAGACGGCGCTCTAGGCTAGTTTATAACAGCAGACGGTGCTCTAGGTTAGTTTATAACAGCAGATGTTGCTCTAGGTTAGTTTATAACAGCAGAAGGTGCTCTAGGTTAGTTTATAACAGCAGACGATGCTCTAGGTTAGTTTATAACAGCAGATGGTGCTCTAGGTTAGTTTATAACAGCAGACGGTGCTCTAGGTTAGTTTATAACAGCAGATGTTGCTCTAGGTTAGTTTATAACAGCAGAAGGTGCTCTAGGTTAGTTTATAACAGCAGACGGTGCTCTAGGTTAGTTTATAACAGCAGATGGTGCTCTAGGTTAGTTTATAACAGCAGACAGTGCTCTAGGTTAGTTTATAACAGCAGATGGCGCTCTAGACTAGTTTTAAACAGCAGATAGCACTCTAGACTAGGTTTAGGCCCAATCCCAATTCTAGCCCTTAGCCCTTACCCTTACCCCTACCACTCATTTTGTGCGTCCACGCCAAGGGGTAGGGGTGTCCCAATTCTCTTTAGCTTGAAGGCGTAGAGCTAAGGGGAAGGGGTAAATAGCCCTTTGAACGAAGATTTTTCAGGACTACACTCGAAACTAAGGGATAGGAAAATTTCCCAGAATGCACCAGACACAAGGGCAGTATTGCTGAACCTGGAACAAACAAACACGTTTTAATATATTCATAACCGCGTTCATGTTTTACCATCATGCTTAAAACAAACGCTAAATAAAAACCGCTAAATTTGGCGATCTATAGTCCAAATTGATAACTCCTGTACAGCAGTCCCACAACATTCTGACACTCGATGACACTGGAGTATGCTGTCAAAAAAGTCTAGGGGCTGGGAATGAGCTGTTTACAGTGTCTTCTATAATGTTGATGTTGTTTTCGCGTGTAGATGTATATGGCCACGGTGTAAATACACAGTACAGTTACGATCTTATTGCCACATTAGATCGTTATGATAACATAATATTTGCCTTCAGTGATCTCCTGAAGATAAATACCAAAAAATAACACAACTGGAATAACTACAGCAGTCACCATCGTCTGATCTCATATGCAGCATGAAAGTGCAATGACTACGTGTGCAGGCACTGTAGTGCTGTCCCAATTCTAAGGGGTAAATTTAGAAGCCCTTCCCCTTAACCTTGGGTTGTAACGGCCAAG